AGCAACAGTTGGAGGGCTCCTAGTGTCCTGGCCCCACTGCCGGACCTTCTGATGGCACCTGGTCTTTTTGGCCACTGTGTGACACAGAGTGTTGGACTGGAGGGGCCATTGGCCTGATCCAATACTGGCTTCTCTTATGTTCTTATGCCACCAAAAAAGCCCCCAAAGAATCCCTGCTTAGAGAGCATTTGAGCCCTTCAAGGGACCCAAGGAGGGGAAATGCAAGCAGAGCGTCTGAGAACAGGACAAATAAAAGAAATAAATTCTGACAATCGTGAGGGGCGTGACTCCATATTGGAGCCTGTGAGCGGCCTTGCCAACCCCTTTCGTAGAAGGGCAGGACTCAGCTTTATCTTTCTTCTGTCCGTTTTGAACACCGGCCCTGCCTTTCCATCGAAAGGGCCCTGAAGACTTCTGGCAACAAAGGAAAACGTCCCATTGAGAAGGAACAGTCCCCGAGAACAAATTTAAAAAGCACGTGTTGAAAAACCACTTCTCCCATTGAAAAGTGACTGGTATTGACTGGTTATGTTTTAACTGATGCTTTATATTTTATTGTGAATGTATACTGCTTGTCAGTTCCTGGAAGCCATCCTGAGTCTGCCTAGCGGGGAGGGCGGGGTAAAAGTGAAATAAAATAAAATAAATAAATAAAAGTCTGAAAGTCTGCAGCACTCGGTCCCCTGTGGAAGGCAGCCCTGCTTGAAAACCCCTCCAGCTTCTAGGATTTCAGGAGGCATTTTTAAAGGTGGCCAACAACAATTGTTCTTGGGGGCAGGGCTCAGAGGGGGGCGTCCCCAAAGTGATGTCATTGTGATGGGGTGCCCCACCCCTTTGGGAACACCCCCCCCCCCAAAGTCCCCCACTGGGGACAAAATCGGACCTGGAAACCTCCTCAGGAAAGCTCCTCCATTAGCATGTTTCACAGCCTGGGGAACTCCTACGTGATAATGACTCAGCCCTACCCCACCTTCCTGAGTAGATATAAATTACCTGCCTGCCGTTTTTCTTCTCACCTTGACACAGAGAGCACTCCATCTTTCTGTGTTATACCTCTGAGGATGCGAAATGTCAGGTCCTACAATCCCAAGACCACGGCCAGACAACCCGGAAAATTTACAACTCCCCCCTCCCCTTTTCTGGTTTACAGAAACGCACAGACAGACGTGTGTGGGGAAAGATAAATTCTGCAAGCACCTGGAGTGGAAAGGAACGTGAAGACTCCCTCTGCTCTCTCCTTTGCTTCTGGGTCTGGGTTGGAGTATAGAGGCCGCCACCGCTTGTTTTGCTCGAAGCCTGGGTTTTATCATTTTTACAGGCATTTTGATTAGTTAGGTCGGATTAGAATGGATAAAAGGAAGTACTTCTTCATCCAAAGAGTGATTAACACATGGAATTCACTGCCACAGGAAGTGGTGGCGGCTACAAGCATGGACGGCTTCCAAAGGGAACTGGATAAGTATATGGAGCAGAGGTCCATCAGTGGCTTTTAGCCACAAGGTATAGACAGGGTCTCTGGGGCAAGTGATGCTCTGTCTTCTTGGTGCTTGGGGGGGGGGGGTCAACAGTGGGAGGGCTTCTAGTGTCCTGGCCCCACTGCTGGACCTCCTGATGGCGCCTGGTATTTCTGGCCACTGTGTGACACAGAGTGTTGGACTGGAGGGGCCACTGGCCTGATCCAGCATTGGCGTCTCTTATGTTATGATTTTGTATAAGGGGAGAAAGAGAAACAGTGTATTTCTGGTGTTGTTTCTGACAGAGCCTAGTGTGGAAGATTTATGGTTCCTAGGGAGGCTATTTTCAAAGTAAACCAAAAGTCGGTTTGGAAATGGAGGGGGAAACTGCCCTTTTCTTAGGTAAAATCTAGCTGCCTGTGATGAAAGAGTGGGGTAACGTCAAGTGGGGAACGCAGCCAGAGTAGCGGTATTCATGCATGCCTTTCTCACGTGCGTTCGGTTTTCAACAGGATTAGCTGGCTTGATAAGGTGTGGCAGAACTGGACCCGCAGTTTCTGTTAGCCAAACTGCCTTACTTCTTAATAACAGCTTAGGGGATTATGAATATAAAATGGCAACAGGCATACAGCATGGACCATGACCTGTGTATATTGGAGTCAGACTTCCCAAGAACCCAGGAATAGACACAGAGACTGGGTGGCTGAAATAATGATTTCTTTACTAAATATTCCCAAGCATACAAACAATAATCAAACATCCACACACACAATACAGAACTAAGAAAGCAGAGGTGATTAATAGCTTATAGAGGGGTCAGGTATGGGGTGATACTTCCTGTCCCAGATACTTCCTGTCCCAGATCCATGAGGAATGGATTATGGCCTCAACCCGGAGGTTTAGGGGTGGACTGCCAGTTGGCATCAGGGCAGAGACATTGGAAAACGATGCAGACCAATTGAAGGCCTTGGGGGCTGGTCTCAGGTGAGAACAATGGACTACCTGAGCCAGTGATGAGCCCCTGGCTCTGGGGTTCAGAGGATCTGAATGTGGAGGTTCCCCTCAGTTACCGTGGTTAGTAGCTACTGATAGACTTTTCCTCCATGAATCTATCTAATCCCCTCTTAAAGCTGTCTGTTCCCGTGGCCATCATTAGATCTTCTGTAGAGCCAGTTTGGTGTAGTGGTTAAGTGCGCGGACTCTAATCTGGGAGAACTGGGTTTGATTCTCCACTCCTCCACTTGCACCTGGCTGGATGACCTTGGGCAAGCCGTAGCTCTGATAAGAGCTGTTCTTGAAAAAGAGCAGTTTCTGTCAAGAGCTCTCTCAGCCCCACCTACCTCACAGGGTGTCTGTTGTGGGGAGGGAAAGGGAAAGGAGTTTGTAAGCCGCTATGAGACTCCTTTGGGTAGTTAAGGGCGGGGTATCAATCCAATCTCTTCTTTTTTTACCTCACAGAGTGTCTGTTGTGGGAAGGGAAAGGAGTTTGTAAGCCGCTCTGAGACACCTTCGGATAGTGAAGGGTGGCGTATAAATCCAATCTCTTCTTCTTCTTCCAGAGGGGCAGAGTCTGGATGTAATGAGATCAAGCCAGGTGCTGGATGGTTGAGCTGGGGGTATCCATTGTGGAACAACAGAGTGGTCTGGCATTTCCCTGGTGCCAGACAAAAGAAGTGATGTTTCTTAATGTGTGGCAGGATGAACCTGGATGGGTGACCCATTCACTAGACATGGAAAGTTAATGTTTACCTTGATAGGTCTGGCATAGGCTTAAGAATGCAGATAGCTTAGACAAATACACGGAGACAGGAATGAGAGGATCATTCCAAAGGTGTTTCCTGACATAGAGGTGAATCAGGAGAGGGGGATGGATTCACGCAACATGCTTCATTCATGACAATCGCACAGACCAGAAGTTCTTCGTCCCTGCCTGCCTGTACCTTTGTCAGACAAAAGACTAGCCATTTGGTCAGCAGAAGATGCCTGAGGCAAGGGTAGAGACTTGCCCATTCTAATCCTTTTTGGAATGAGCACACAGGAGAGACTTCAGGCCAGCCTGAAGAATCTCCTCTTTGGCCTGAGTTTTCTCAGCCAAGATGTGGTTCTCTTAGCCTCCCAGCAAAAGCCACAGTTTAAGCCAAGCCTGGCTTCATGAGGGCACTGCTGGCTGAGGTTCAGAAATTGTTTTGGGGTGTCTCTCTTGTGGGAAAGACCACAGGCTGAGGATGCTGGCAACATTACTTCCCTGAGGAGATCAGATAATAGAGATGTACAGTTTCTAGGTAACCTTGGTAACTGGTAACCCTTCTCTCCCGGCCTAACCGACCTCACAGGACTGTTAGAAGGAAACTGAGGAAAGGACTAGAAATGGTGTAGGAAGAGGCCCTCCTCCATTTGATGCTCACAACAACAGCCCTGTGAGGTAGGTTAGGCTAAAAGTGTGTGATTGACCAAAGGTCACCCAGCAAGCTTCCATGACAGTGAGGATTTGGACCCAGGGTTTCCCAGATCCGAATTAGACACCACACTGGCTCTCTTAAGTAACTGCTTCCCTTTTCCCTTTATCTGTGGCTTATTATGAGAAAGACGTCAACCTGAGTCCCTGAAGAGCCACTGCCACTCTGAGTACACCGGGGGGGGGGGGGGCTTGCAATGCCCAGCCATTTCATGTTTTCCCCTGGGTCATAGCCTCATAAGAGCAGGCTGGGGAAAGGGTTTGCTCCCCACTCCAGACACACTCAAGCTTACTACAGCACAGACATTGTCTCCAGATTTTGATTCAAGAATTCAGAGCAAGAGGTGTCAGTTATCAAAGACTGTTAAATAAGCAAAATATTGCAAGAGTGTTAATGTTTTAAGCATGTTTGTATTTTAAGTTAAGAAACAATATCTTTAATTGTGTTTATCTGTGTCCCTTACAAAGTTTATATCTCTGGTACCTGACATTACATTTTATGATACTCATGACGTGGCCCAACAAAGTCCCATTTATGTCAGATCTGGCCTTAATAACAAATGAGTTCGACACCCCTCATCTACAGAGCTACGAGACTGCTTCTCTCGATATGATTTATTGTTACTGCTTTGCTCATCTGTGCAACAATAATGGGTGAGGCTGAGAGCAACACATACAGAACAATTCACTTATGTGGCTCCCACTTGGGGGAATGTCCTAGCCAGCAAGGTGAGGAAGACTGCTACAATTCTAGCAATCCACAAAAGGTGTGAAACAGAATTCAATAGGTAGCCGTGTTAAGTGTCGCAGTGGAAAAGAGCAAGAGTCTAGCAACACCTTAAAGACTAATAAAACTTGTGGCAGGGTATATGATCTTTCTTGAGTCCCAGCTCACTTAAGTCCCAGCAATCGTTCTGTTTTCTGCTGAAACAGAATGGTTTAAGACAGTATTTTAATGATGGAAATAAAGTTGGTTTCCAATCTTCCAATCTCCTTTTCTTCCCACACTCCAGGCATTTCTACGATTTCTCCTGAGTTTGAATTCTTTGATGCTAAGTTAGTGTCTTCTCCCGTGGAAAGCTTTTGCCATATCAGGCATTTGTATGGTTTCTCCCCGTATGAATTTTTTCATGGTAAGAAAGGCCTCCTTTGCTACGAAAGGGCTTTCCACACTCCAAGCATTTATAGGGTTTCTCCCCTGTATGAATTCTTTCATGGTAAGTAAGGTATCCTTTGCAACTAAAGTACTTTCCACACTCCAGGCATTTATAGGGTTTCTCCCCTGTATGAATTCTTTCATGGTAAGTAAGGCTTCCTTTGCTACGAAAGTACTTTCCACACTCCAGGCATTTATAGGGTTTCTCCCCTGTATGAATTCTTTCATGGTAAGTAAGGCTTCCTTTGCTACGAAAGTACTTTCCACACTCCAGGCATTTATAGGGTTTCTCCCCTGTATGAATTCTTTCATGGTAAGTAAGGCCTCTTTTGCTATTAAAGGACTTTCTACACTCCAGGCATTGATAGGGTTTCTCCCCTGTATGAATTCTTTCATGGTAAGTAAGGCTTCCTTTGCTATTAAAGTACTTTCCACAATCCAGGCATTTGTAGGGTTTCTCCCCTGTATGACTTCTTTCATGGTAAGTAAGGCGTCTTTTGCTACGAAACGACTTTCCACACTCCAGGCATTGATAGGGTTTCTCCCCTCCATGGATTTTTTCATGGTAAGTAAGGCTTCCTTTGCTACTAAAGTACTTTCCACACTCTAGGCACTGATATGGTTTCTCCCCTGTATGAATTCTTTGATGGTAAGTAAGGCCTCCTTTGCTAAGAAAGGACTTTCCACACTCCAGGCATTTATATGGTTTCTCCTCTGTATGAAATCTTTGATGGGAAGTTAGCATATTCTTATGTGGAAAGCTTTTTCCACACTCCAGACATTTATATGGTTTCTCCCCTGTATGACTTCTTTCATGGTAAGAAAGGTTTCGTTTCCTAGTAAAGCACTTTCCACACTCCAAGCATTTACATGGGTTCTCCCTCATGTGAATTCTTTGATGGCAAGTTAGAGTATGCCTCCGTGGAAAGCTTTTTCCGCACTCTAGACATTTATATGGTTTCTCCCCTGTATGAATTCTTTCATGGTCAATAAGGGTTTGTTTCCTTATAAAGCAGTTTCCACACACCCGGCATTTATATGGTTTCTCCCCTCTGTGAATTTTCTGATGATACATAAGGCCTCCACACTGCTTGAAGCTTTTTCCACATTCGAGGCATTTATATGTTTTCTCTCCTGTATGAGTTCGTTGATGGGAAGTAAGTGTGTCACTCCATCTGAACCTTTCTCCACACTCCACGCATTGATATTTTCCCGCCTCTCCCTGAATTCTCTGCATACCCCCAGCTGAAAGAAAGAGACACTTATCTTGAACAGTGTGAAAAACAGAGCAGGAACATTACAAAACGGTCTACATTAACTGTGGCACAGAGGGCAAGAATGCAAGAGCTTGGGTGTCTAGACACACTTTCAAAAGCCTTTGCTGGTAATCTGGTCTTATACTGTAACTGAAGGATCAGCAGTTCAGAGGGGCTTCTCAAAAACGAATCCACAAGCCAGTGAGTTTCTCCTCAGGCAGTGATGCAAGCTATGGGTTGCTTTATTCTTTGCCCCTCAACCTCCTCAGGCACCTTTTCAGCAATCACAACTCACTCCAGCTCTTTGGAGGAAAACCAGCTCTTAGGATGAAGACAGTCACAGAAGAAACCCACCCGCCCTAGGAAGAAAGCACAAGCAAAGCACCATCCCAACACAGACCTGCCAGTCCCGCCTCTTCAGCCGAGAACAGGAAGAACAGCTCTTCTTCTCCTTCCATCCAGGGGATCAGGTCGGGTTTGGCAGTCACTGGTCCTTTTCATCATGAAAAAAGAGCAGAGAATTAGACTTCTATTCTGTGCACATCAGTGACTCTTCCAAGCCAACCTGACTATATCCCTACAGGCACCACAGGCAAGGAGTTGGTGAGGGGTGGAGTACTGGACCAGGTAGAGTGGCAACGATCCAGAGAGGAAATTATCACCCAGTGAGTTTTCAGTCTTTCATAAAAAGAATCAGTGAATCTGTCAAATATACAGGGGTCATTTCCTGCAGGAGCACACAGGAATAAGAGAGGGTTAGATTTTGGAGACAGCGGACACTGAGACATATTAAACAGTTGGGATGGTTGTCTTCTGGCCCCTTCCAAGTCACCCAGCTGCTAAGAACATAAGAGAAGCCATGATGGATCAGGCCAATGGCCCATCCAGGCCAACATTCTTTGCCACACACGGGCCAAAACCCAGACTGAGCGATTAAACCAAAGGTAAAACGAACAACTGAGGAAAAACAATCTCCCACAGGAAAATGTTTTTCCCATATATCAAAGGAATCACTGATCAGATAGGAAACGTTATGAAAAAAGCACAATCTACGAACAGTATTCAGACCCACCAGAAAAATACAACAGATGCTACGATCAGCAAAAGACAGAAGAGACCCCCTCAGTTCTGCATGAGTATACCGCATACCCTGCAGTTGTGGACAGGATTACACTGGGACCACACAACGTAGCATCCAGAGAAGAATAAAAGAACATGAAAGACACTGCAGACAAAGCAAACCTGAAAAATCAGCAGTGGCTGAACACAGTGTAACTCAAACAGGACACAGTATCGTTTTCCTAGACACTGAACTACCGGACAACGCACCCAATTACCATGTCAGATTACACAGGGAAGCCACTGAAATTTATAAACATAAACATACTTTCAACAGGAAAGAATAGAGTTTAAGAATGAATAGGGCATGGTTTCCAGTCCTGGAAAGCACAAAATGCTTTGCCTCTTACAACAGCACTACAGATAAGATTAGAATTTCAACAGCCAATCCACATGCAGAAGAACCTCCTCAGGAAAGCTCCTCCATTAACATGTCACAGCCTGGGAAACTGTTATTGTAAACAGATCAGCCAATATCATAATGCCCCTATATAAATCAATGGTGTGACCTCATCTGGAATACTGTGTGCAATTCTGGTCACCACACCTTAAAAAGGATATTATAGCTTTGGAAAAAGTGCAGAAAAGGGCAACTCGAATGATAAAAGGGTTGGAACACTTTCCCTATGAGGAAAGGTTAAGGCACTTAGGGCTCTTTAGCTTGGAGAAACGATGACTGAGGGGTGACATGATTGAGGTTTATAAGATTATGCATGGGAAAGAGCAGGTAGAGAAAGAGGTACTTTTCTCCCTTTCTCACAATACAAGAACTCGTGGGCACTCCATGAAATTGCTGAGCGGTCGGGTTAGAACGGATAAAAGGAAGTACTTCTTCACCCAAAGAGTGATTAACACTTGGAATTCACTGCCACAGGAAGTGGTGGCGGCTACAAGCATGGACGGCTTCAAAAGGGAATTAGATAAGCATATGGAGCAGAGGTCCATCAGTGGCTATTAGCCACAAGGTATAGATAGGGACTCTGGGGCAAGTGATGCTCTGTCATCTTGGTGCTTGGGGGGGGTCAACAGTGGGATGGCTTCTAATGCCCTGGCCCCACTGGTGGACCTCCTGATGGCACTGGTATTTCTGGCCACTGTGTGATACAGAGTGTTGGACTGGATGGGCCTTTGGCCTGATCCAACATTGGCATCTCTTATGTTCTTATGTTCTTATGTTACAAGATAATGACTCAGCCCTACCCCACCTTCCTGAGTAGATATAAATCACCTGCCTACCGTTTTCTTCTCACATTGACACAGAGAGAACTCTATCTTTCGGTGTTTTACCTCTGAGGATGCCAGTCACAGCTGCTGGCGAAACGTAAGGTACTATAATGCCAAGTCCACGGCCACACAGCCCGGAAAATCTACAACAACTAAATCTACAACAACTAAAGCTGCTTGATGCTGAGAGCCTTCAGCCTGAGATGGAGTAACCTCTGGGAACTTGGAATCGCTGTGTCACTGTGTTAGCTAGCATTTTTATTCCTAGATTTCCCTACTGTGTTAATTCCTTCTGTGTTAGCTAGCATTTTAATGCCTAGATTTCTTGTTTTCCCTCACAGAGATCTGGGCCCTGTGGGACCTTTTAAAGGTCCACAGGGCCTGTAAGACAACACTCATCCACGAGGCTTTTGGTTGAGACAGTGGACGTCAAATATCATCTGGCCCATCTTGTTACCTCCTTATTACCATCTGTACCATGGTCTTTAATCTCTGAGAACACAGAATGATAACCGCCTTGGTTTACCCAAGGTAAAGCTAAAGGTAAAGGTTCCCTTGCTTGAAAGCCAGTCGAGTCCGACTCTAGGGTTGCGGTGCTCATCTCCGTTTCAAAGCCGAAGAGCCAGCGCTGTCCGAAGACGTTTCCGTGGTCACGTGGCCGGCATGACTAAACACTAAGGTGCACGGAACGTTGTTACCTTCCCACCGAAGTGGTCCCTATTTATCTACTTGCAATTTCTTGCTTTCGAACTGCTAGGTTGGCAGGAGCTGGAACTAGAGACGGGAGCTCACTCCGTCATGCGGCACACCCGGGTCTTGAACTGCTGAACTACTGACCTTCCACAGCCTGCAGTTCAGCGTCTTAACCACTTGAGCCACCGCAGCTCCTTGTTACCCAAAGTAGGATACTTATAATCCGCAATCCTTTATGGGATCTAGCCCTTTCTGCCTTCAATTTTCTCCCAGGGCACCATCATAATAGTTGTAATGCAGTTTGATCGCCATCGATTAAGGGTTAAGTCTATAGTTTTAATCTTGATTTTATTGTTTTATGTTAATGTTGTAACCCAACCTGAGCCCACTTGCGGGAAAGGGTGGGATAGAAATTGAACGAAATAAATAGTGTTGTTCTTTGCAAAAATATTTTTGCACCTTAATGAAATAATTAAATTTCACTTGTTGTGGTTTTTGCCTTCAGCTGACGGCAAACCTAATTCCAGTGTTTTGACCCAGTGACCAACTACCAGGTAAACAGTGTTCCCTCTAAGCTGAGTTAGTGTGAGCTAGCGCACAGTTTTTTAGCCTCCGGCTCACATGTTTTTGTCTCAGCTCAGGAAGGGAGGGCTCCAGAGCGAACTGATTTATGCAGCAGCCCAATCGCTCGCTCAGCACTTTGATGCCAGTAGCTCACAAAGTGGCATTTTTGCTCACGAGACTCCACAGCTTCGAGGGAGCATTGCAGGTAACCGTCTTTTGTTTGAGCAAACTCGATCTGCAGGCCCGCCCTGCAGGGGTTGACCTTCTTGCCGATTTCCCAGAAAGGCTGGGTGACTTGCTCTTTTGCTCCTAAGCTGTTGGGATGGATAGAAAGGGGCCAGTGGGTAGGCTATCAGACTAGTGTGGGCGCAGCCTCACGCTAGGAGTTTTGAAATTTTGTTGTGCTGCAGCCCTTCCACCCAAAAGTCCTTACCCCAGGCTGGGTTGGGGACTTTCGACAGGCATTCCTTCACCAAAGGCCCTGACCACATCCTTCCTCAACAGCGACTTTCTAGGAACAGGGAAGACTCATTGCCATACTCAATGGCATCGAGAAGGCTAGATGGCCGTCTGACAGCAATGCAGGTTCTATGAACGTAGGCAGATCATGAGAGGGAGGGCAGGAAGGGTTGCCTCAGTGCTTGGCTCTCGCAGCCCTTTCTTACACGCCCAGGGAGATGGGGTCAGGAAGCAATTCTCCTCCGGGCCAGTTGGCCAGGGATTTTTGTCATCTTTTGGGCACGGAGCAGGGGTCACTGGGAGTGCGGGGGGAGGTAGTCGTGATTTCCCTGCATTGTGCCAGAGGTTGGACTAGATGACCCTGGAGGTCCCTTCCAACTCTATGATTCTATGAGAAGAAAAGGAGGCTCCTTACCCAGAGAGGCCACGTTCCCAAAATTCTCCAGCATGACTTCCTTGCAGAGAGCTCTCTGGGCCGGGCTCAGCAGGGCCCACTCACCCGGTGTGAAATACACGGCCACCTCTTCGAAGGACACCGGATCCTGGAGGAGAAAGAGGAAAGTAATTCTTCCCATCACTGGGACATTGGTTCATGAGCAATAAAATCCAAACATGGGTATTAAAACAAGTCCTGGTCAACAGCAGCATCCAGGAGGGGATCAGGGCCCTGAGGCTTTCCCTTCCCAGGGCTTCTTGGGGGATATCCCGGGGACAGAGGGGTGGCCGGAACTCAGGGGGCTACCAGCCTCCCGCCTTCTCTGGCTTCCTTTTCCTCCCACCTCTCCACTCGACCTCTAGGAGGAAGGCGCTTCTGGAGAGAGGAGGACTGGAGCATGCAAAAGCACGCTGGCATTTGGCTGAGAGGGGAGCCAGAGTTTGGCTGAGGGACTTCCAGCAAAGCTCCGCATCTAGCCCTCCACTAGGGCTGCTAATTCCAGTTTCGGAAATTCCTCACAATTTGGGGAGTTGCTTGTAGAGGGCAGAATCTGGGGAGGGAGCTCAGCAGGGCTGTGATACCAAAAAGCCTGCCCCCATCTCTGTATTCTGGAGATCAGTTGTGATTTCCAGGAACATAAGAACATAAGAGACGCCAATGTTGGATCAGGCCAAAGGCCCATCCAGACCAACACTCTGTATCACACAGTGGCCAGAAATACCAGTGCCATCAGGAGGTCCAACAGTGGGGCCAGGACATTAGAAGCCCTCCCACTGTTGACCCCCCCCCCCAAGCACCAAGATAACAGAGCATCACTTGCCCCAGAGCCCCTATCTATACCTTGTGGCTAATAACCACTGATGGACCTCTGCTCCAGATGCTTATCTAATTCCCTTTTGAAGCCGTCCATGCTTGTAGCCGCCACCACCTCCTGTGGCAGTGAATCCCATGTGTTAATCACTCTTTGGGTGAAGAAGGACTTCCTTTTATCCGTTCTAACCTGACCGCTCTGCAGTTTCATGGAGTGCCCACGAGTTCTTGTATTGTGAGAAAGGGAGAAAAGTACCTCTTTCTCTACCTGCTCTTTCCCATGCATAATCTTATAAACCTCGATCATGTCACCCCTCAGTCGTCTTTTCTCCAAGCTAAAGAGCCCTAAGCGCTTTAACCTTTTCTCATAGGGAAAGTGTTCCAACCCTTTTATCATTCGAGTTGCCCTTTTCTGCACTTTTCCCAAAGCTATAATATCCTTTTTAAGGTGTGGTGACCAGAACTGCACACAGTATTCCAAATGAGGTCGCACCATTGATTTATATAGGGGCATTATGATATTGGCTGATCTGTTTTCAATACCCTTCCTAATAATCCCCAGCATAGCATTGGCCTTCTTTATTGCAGTCACACACTGTCTCGACATTTTCAGTGAGTTATCCACTACAACTCCAAGATCTCTCTCTTGCTCAGTCTCTGCCAGTTCAGACCCCATCAATGTGTATTTATATTTAGGATTTTTGGCTCCAATGTGCATCACCTTGCACTTGGCCACATTGAACCCCATTTGCCATGTTGACGCCCACTCGCCCATCCTTGACAGATCCCTTTGGAGTGCCTCACAATCCTCACTGGTTTTCACCACCCTGAACAACTTTGTATCATCCGCAAATTTAGCCACTTCACTGCTTACTCCCATCTCCAAATCATTAATGAACAAGTTAAAAAGCAGTGGACCAAGTACTGATCCCTGCGGTACCCCACTGCTTACCACCCTCCACTGAGAAAATTGCCCACCTACACTCACTCTCTGTTTTCTATGAACTAGCCAGTTTTTGATCCATAAAAGGACTTGTCCTTCTATCCCATGATTTTTGAGCTTACTTAGGAGCCTTTGATGAGGAACTTTATCAAAAGCTTTCTGGAAGTCAAGGTAAACAATATCTATTGGATCCCCCTTGTCCACATGTTTGTTCACCCCCTCAAAGAACATTAACAGGTTAGTGAGACAAGATCTTCCCTTACAGAAACCGTGCTGAGTCTGCCTCAATAGGTTTTGTTCATCTATGTGCCTACTAATTCTTTCCTTAATAATGGTTTCCACCAATTTACCCGGTATCGACGTCAGACTGACTGGCCTGTAATTTCCCGGATCTCCTCTGGAACCCTTTTTAAAGATGGGAGTGACATTAGCTACCTTCCAATCCTCAGGAATGGAGGCAGATTTTAAGGAAAGATTACATATCTTTGTCAGGAGATCTACAAGTTCACATTTGAGTTCTTTCAGAACTCTCGGATGTATGCCATCTGGGCCTGGTGATTTTTCAGTTTTTAAGTTGTCTATCAGTTTTAGGACCTCCTCTCTCATCACCTCAATCTGACTCAGGTCTTCCAACACCCCTCCTGAAATCAGTGGTTCTGGAGTGGGCAAGCACTTCTCATCTTCCACAGTGAAGACGGAGGCAAAAAATGCATTTAGCTTCTCAGCCATTTCCCTATCATCCTTCAATACTCCTTTTACCCCTTGGTCGTCCAAGGGCCCCACTGCCTCCCTGGCTGGTTTCCTGTTTCTAATGTATTTGAAGAAAGTTTTATTGTTGGTTTTTACGTTTTTTGCTATATGCTCCTCATATTCCCTTTTTGCCTGCCTGACCTCAGACTTGCATTTTATTTGCCATAGCCTGTGTTCCGTTTTATCAGCCTCACTGTGACTAGCTTTCCACTGCTTAAAGGAATTCTTTTTACTTTTTACAGCCTCCATTACTCTGTTTGTTAACCATGCAGGCTTTTTCCTATACCTGTTTGTGCCTTTCCTAACCTGCGGAATATATATTTTTTGAGCTTCTAGGATCGTAGTTTTAAATAGATCCCAAGCTTCCCCAATTGTTTTGACCCTTTCTACTTTTCCTTTCAGTTTCCTCCCCACGTGTCCCCTCATATCAGAGAAATTACCCCTTTTAAAGTTAAAAATGGTTGTGTGAGTCTTTTTGGCCAATTCTCTATTTGTACAAATGATGAACTCAACAACATTATGATCACTGTTTCCAAGCGGTGCAATCACTTTTACATCTCTCACCAGGTCTTGAGTGTTACTTAGGACCAAATCAAGGATCGCCTCTCCCCTGGTAGGTTCCGTGACCATCTGCTCCATAGCACAGTCATTTAGAGTGTCTAGAAACTCAATCTCTTTTTCCCGACTAGAACACATATTGACCCAATCAATGTGTGGGTAGTTAAAATCACCTATTATTACACAGTGTTTTTGTCTAGTTGCTATCTTTAAGGCATTCATCATTTTATAATCCTCCTCTATCTTTTGATCTGGTGGGCGATAACAAACTCCCAGTGTTAAGTTTCCTTTTGGCCCCCCTATTTCAACCCATAGAACTTCCAGAAGCGAATCCAATTCACTTAGCCTCTCAATCTTTCTAGACTTTATACCCTCTCTGACATACAGAGCTACCCCACCTCCAACCCTTCCCCCCCTATCCTTCCGATATAATATATAACCGGGAATCACTGTGTCCCACTGATTTTCCTCATCCCACCAAGTTTCAGAAATACCCACAATGTCTATTTTTCCCTCCGACACCAAGCACTCCAACTCCCCGATTTTACCTCGGACACTTCTAGCATTTGTATAGAAACAGCTGTAATTTCCCTTACAAGTTAAGCCTGCATTTGGTCTTTATGTTTTTTGCTATATGCTCCTCATATTCCCTTTTTGCCTGCCTGACCACAGACTTGCATTTTATTTGCCATAGCCTGTGTTCCATTTTATCAGCCTCACGAGACTAGCTTTCCACCACTTAAAGAAATCCTTTTTACCTTTTACAGCTTCTATTACTTTGTTTGTTAACCATGCAGGCTTTTTTCTATACCTATTTGTGCCTTTCCTAACCTGCAGAATATATTTTATCTGAGCTTCTAAGATCGTAGTTTTAAATAGTTTCCAAGCTTCCCCAATGGTTTTGACCCTTTCTACTTTTCCTTTCAGTTCCCTCCCCACATGTCCCCTCATATCAGAGAAGTTACCCCTTTTAAAGTTAAAAGTGGTTGCGTCAGTCTTTTTGGCCAATTCCCTATTTATCCAAATGTTGAACTCAACAACATTATGATCACTGTTCCCAAGCGGTGCAATCACTTTTACATCTCTCACCAGGTCTTGAGTGTTACTTAGGACCAAGTCAAGGATCGCCTCTCCCCTGGTAGGTTCCGTGACCATCTGCTCCATGGCACAGTCATTTAGAGTGTCTAGAAACTCAATCTTTTTCTCGACTAGGACACATATTGACCCAATCAATGTGTGGGTAGTTAAAATCACCAAGAGAACTCTAGAAGTGTTTTATTCTCCCTGTTGGGGACTCTCTGCACACATAATTCAAGACAGACTTTGAACAGAACCCAGGCTAAACTACCTGATTTGGTGTGCCTTGTGACACAAAAGAAACCGTTCCCATATCTCCCCAATGATTGCCCCCCCTTACCTGAGCAGGCCTCATGGTGGCTCTTTTCCCCTCACCGCATGGAGATAGCGAAGAAGGCATGGGGGGTCTCTTCCCGCTGCTGCCTGGGAGGGTGAAAAAGACATACGGTGCGAATTATTATTTTTTAAACCACATATTTAATTTCTGTTCCAGTCCCCAGAGTGACTCTCTCTCTCCAGGTTTGATTCAGAGCACAATTCGAGATCCTGGGGTTAAGGACATACTCGAGTTCCTTTCTCTTGGGAGAGGGAGAAAAAGTCCTCTTCTTCAATTCTCTCCACTCCGTGCCTCATTTTCCAAACCTCTCTCCTGTCGCCCCCTTAGCCGTCTCCTTCTTTAAACTGAAAAGCCCCTGGCCCTTCAGCCTTTACTGCTAGGGAGGGGGCTCCAATCCCCTGATCGTCTTGGTTTCCCTCCTCTGTATCTTTCCCCCAGCTCCACAATGTCCCTTTTGAGATACGGTGGTCAAGGAAGACTCCGGAATCTCTGGCCCAGCCTCTCTTCCTCACAGTCGTTCTTTATGGCAGAATATCCCCCCTTCCTTATCCATCCGTCTCTGACCTCTCCTGGTCGTGTTTCTGCCCAGACTTGCCAAATCCATCTCTGCCAGAAGCTGCCCCACTCCCCT